TTCCAACTCCTCAGATTCTGTGGTTCTGTGATTCTATTTACTTGGTAGTGAACTCTTTTTGGTATTCAGTTTTGTAGCAAACAAACAATTCATGGAAAACATTCCCATTTAAATGCTTCTAGCAGCAAATATAGACACAAATGGAATAAGACACTACCTTAGGGTCCTAGAGGTGGTCACCCTCCTACAAACACACCAGCTGTTAGCAATCTGAAGGGGCATTACTTAGAAATATTTGCTTTTTCAAGAATTTAAGCATAACCATAGTGCTCCTGTCACACTTACCTGAACGAAAAATATAAAGTGCTTGAAAGAAGTGTTAAGGTGTGCCTCTTCCTGGAGCTGGATCACGGGGTCAAAGTGCTGGTGATAGATGTGAGCGTAAACTCTGAAGAGACGCTTTAAAATGGTCTTTGCCACCGACATGAAATTCTTTGGGAACGGTACACCTGGAAATGAGAAAAGAGATGGCTTCTTTTTAAACACTCATGAATTCTGAAAGCCATCAGAGCCCAACCCTGTCTCTTCCACAAGCTTATTAGAAGACCAGAGGGGAGGTTTCCCTCCCTTCAGCAGCCCAGTGGCTCATGAACTCATCCCAAGCCAAATTTGACTGCCTTTCTATGCTGAACCTTCCTAGTTTCAGCTCTCAGCTACTAAATCTTGTTAGATTTAAAACCAGATACCTTTGGCTAGGTCCTGCTTCCATCTTTCTTCATCACCATCCTTAGCCAGAGGCTACTGCTTCTTCCCTGCCCGCTCAAGTACTGCAAAACATGCTCCTTTCAGTCATTTCAGTGACAACGACCCAGGAGAGGTAAAATCAGCCTTAACAGCAGCTCTCTGCTGTCTCCTAACCAGATTTGATACAAATTATACACTGACAATCAGCTACTGGGAGCATTAATCTCTTTATTTGGCACAGCCGCAGGCTAAAAAAAGCTACCTATCAACCATCTAACAGAGGAAACCTGTCTAACTCCTCACCACGCAGCAGTTTTCCCAGGCAGCTCAGTTCTTCTGCAGCCTTTCCAAGTGCTGAGGTCCCACCTGAGGCCAGAGCCGCAGGCTGGATGCTGCAGTTCAACCCTGATCTCACAAATGGCTTTAAAACCTTAGCAATAAAATTCCCATACTTCTGTTTAAGCCTCGCTACACGTACATCAAGTTTCCTTAATCAGCCACTGCATCCCATGGGAAGTCCATATTTAGTTGGTTATCCACTGCGGCCTTGAAGTCTCTTTCTGAGTGGCTACCTTCCAAAAATACACCCTACTGAAAGAGAAATAAAAGTCTCCAGCAAATATATGCTGCAGTTAAAGAAAGATCAAGTCCTGATGTAGTTCATCTTTCGGGCCCAACTTTAATACTAACTGTACCTATGTAATGTCATTCCTATCAGTGAACCTCCACCCCAGCTGTGAGCTCTACCCTGAGCCACTGTGTATTGCACAGTAAGTATGTGAAGTATACCATTGCACATGGTATGTGAAGATATGGGAGAAATCAGCTTTTTGTCACTTCATAAATGAACCAACCTTCTCTGCACATCTGCTTCAGTGTAAGTAAAAACAAACACCACTTCAGTCTGACACGTGGCCCTGTTTCTCTGCAGAGAGTTACTGAAAATGCATGAAATGCTTCAGAAACTATTCATAAAATAAAAGCCATTAAGAGATCTCCCTTCCTTTCTCCACAATGGCTCAGAAGCCTCTGAGCAGCAGTGTGCTGGAAAACCACCAGTTAGGAGCTTTGGAACAAGCAGTCCTTCGTGCCTCTGAAAGCAGGGTTTTCTTCTTATCATCTCAGGACTGGTGGCTGTGCCTTATTTTCCTCCTGCTTTTCTGAAAGAAACATCCTAAAAATACACAACTTCACTTGGACATAAAACAGAAATCAAGAACTTGATGAAAGGTGAAATTCAGCTTCTTTGGAGGCAAGGCCCAGAAGTTCCTCATCAGGACCAAGCATCTTTCCTGATCAGAAATGTACCAGTTCACACCAGTTACTGGTTATAAGGGTTTTGAGACCCTCTGACTTATTTCTCAGGAAGCAACCCCTTGTTCAAACTGAAAAAAGCATCAGATTTGATCAACACGGTCAGGTATTAAATATTTCCTGCATTCAGAACTGTGATAGATTTTATTAGGGCTATTAACACATGGATCAGAGTTCATGTACTACGGTATAAAATTTATCCGAAGATATAAAAGTGCCTATTTCTTTATATATATATATATATAATGTAACCTTTTAAAGTTGTCCTACTGCAGTCAGTCATGTAGGAGACCTTTTAAAGCTCTAAGACTTGAATACTCCTGCACAACTGTAATCCAAACAGATAGCTCAACTGTATTGACTTTACCTATTTTGGAAGGAAATAGCGTTTCATCATCCAGCTGATCCTGGACCCAAGTCATCAGGTAATCGATGTACTTTGGTGCAGAGCACTTGATGGGCTTCTTTATGTTTGTCCCATCCGCCCAGTGGTACTCGTATCTGGAATGGGACAACAAGACGACGTTTCTCAACACAAGGGAATCATTCACATCGAGGCCTGAGGTCGCTTTTCCTGCTCCAGCAAAGCAAGTGGCGATGCTCAGCATCTGCATCAGCTGCCAGCCACATGCATTAGACCCCTAAAATGTATGTGATTTCTTGACATTTGAAGATATTCTTACAGATTTTACACAAGTGAAGACCAAACTATATTGGCTCTTGCCAGATATCCCAAAGAGTGACTGTACTGGAGACACAGAACAGATTAGAGGTATGTTAAAGTCAAGGAATACTACAGCAAAGCTGGAAGCTGGTTTAAAGTGCCTTCCAGCTACCAGAAAAAAGCTTCTGTTCTGTTAAATAATACATAACTTAATATAACTTGTGATTAAACAGTCCTGCCTAGACAAGGCTGAGGTGTGAAGGGTTGGTGCTAGCAGGCAGCGCACGGGTGAACTACACCTAGATCCAGAAAACCTCCACTTCCAGTTACACCACTCACACCTTTACAAACCACCACCACGGCTCTGGAGCAACGAAACATTCATGTTTATAAATATTTAAAGGGTGAGTGTCACGAGGATGGAGCCAGGCTCTTCTCGGTGACAAACAATGATAGGACAAGGGGTAACGGACACAAACTGGAACACAGGAGGTTCCACTTCAATTGGAGAAGAAACTTCTTCTCAGTGAGGGTGACAGAGCCCTGGCCCAGGCTGCCCAGAGAGGTTGTGGAGTCTCCTTCTCTGCAGACATTCAAAACCCGCCTGGACGCCTTCCTGTGTAACCTCATCTGGGTGTTCCTGCTCCGGCAGGGGGATTGGACTGGATGAGCTTTGGAGGTCCCTTCCAATCCCTAACAGTCTGGGATTCTGTGTTCTGTGAAACCCGTGCTCTTTTTATCCTTGTCCATTCAGAGCCAGTAGCGTTGACATCTTTCACGTAGCACATTGAGGGAGGAGACTCCAGCCCGATTCACCTTACAGTTATCATTTTAAACTGCAGGAATGTAAAAAGCCATGGAAAAAATGTACTGAATAGGATCCATTTGCATCCATAACCAGACAGAAAGGAGTCCTCGTGTTACTAGTATGGATCAGAGGTTTTCAGCAGCTTGGGCACAGAGCTGTGCTGGTGAGAACAAACAATAATTAAATGCTTTTACATTAAACATGCTTCACCTACAAGTTTTACCTCAGTTCTTTCTGAAAGCATTTGAGGAGATGTTATTAATGGCTAAGATTTCTGCTTTTCAGGGAGGATAGCGTGCTCAATCTGGTTATTTCTCAGTACAGAAACAGCACACCACAATGTCTGGGCTGCAGTCACCACTGTTTAACCTCTCCCTTGCTATTTCCAATTAGCATCGTGTGGATAGTTGAGAAGGCTTTCTATTTTAAAGATTGCAGGCATTGTTTTATTCAAAGCTTAACTGCACCTGATAAATCTGGCTTCAAATTCTCTTTACCAAATTCAGTTTTGTCAAACGGGTGAACATTTTCACTATCAATTTTATGAGTCATTACAAGTGTGCTGCTCCCAGTGGTATAAAAAGATCCCGGTTTTATAACGGTAAAGCATTTCTGACTTACCTCAAAACAGAGAGAAACTCCACACACACTGAATGGACCCCAACATTCCCAGATTTCTGAAAAAATCAGCGTTCCTCACCACCCAGTGCTACCCCAATACTGAGATTTCAGTGGTATTAACACAGGACAAGTATCAGCACTTGGCTGAGGTGCCAGATTCAGTCTGTAAATTAAATTACAGGCTAAAAACAATCATCCAAGCAACATATACCCATGAGAAGCCTCCCTCCCTTCCTGATCCCCTAATGCTATGGATTAGTTCTGTGTTTTTTCAAGGAAAAAATGCCATAGAATCGCCCTTGAAGTTACACAGCTCTTACACAGCCTATGTGTCCTGACAAAAATAAAGTCACACAGAGAATATTGAGGATCCTGGCAAACACCCCGTGCTCCATGCGGTGGTGGGACTGCTCACAGCGGTTCCTAGACTGACAAAAGGCTTGGGGTTAGCAAGGGAGGGGAAAATGAGCTTTTCCTACAAGATTAAATACATCACTGAGGGAAAAAAAAATATATATCAAGAATCCCAGCCCAGCTTCTTAACCAAAAAACCACAAACATAACAGAACCTACAGGACTTGAAGGCTAAAAATCACATTTCAAGTGCAAACTTATGAGCAAACGCCTACAGCTCTGGTGAGAAAAACAAACTGATAACCATTATATGCAGCTCCTCTACAGAAAACACATTTTTAGAAATGTTTACAGTTTAGTGGAGGTTTTTAAGGGCAACACAATATGTGAAGGACAGGGGAAAAAATGCACAACTGAGATTAGCAAGTGCAAGGGGAAAACTGAGCATCCCTAACGCCTCTGGTACAATTCTCTCATATTAATAAACACATCTTTGCCACCTAGAAACAGAAAACCCAACCATGCTTCCTTAAGTATAATTGAACACAAGACCAGCTCCTCTACCATGCAATTAAATGTACATTTAACCAACCAAATAAAAACCAGCCCAGCTTGAACCCACCCGAAGCTGCTACCTGGTCCAACAGCAGGAAAACGCAGGGGCTCAGCAACGCCTTTGAAAGATTCCCAGACATATATTTGGGCCTATCATCTCTGCAAAAATATATTACACATCAAAACTGCTGAAAAATACTTATCCCATTCTGTCTCTATCGTGAAGTGACACGGGGGCACAGTGCAGCATCCCCAGAAGGCAGAAGGGCTGATTCTGCTGAGACACACAGGGTGTCTCAAGGACCTGATTTCATGACTTACTGTTTTTGCTGCAGACAAACTGCACAGGATCTCACCGCCATTGAGCTCAACTCACTCACACAGATGCCTAAATACAGATTTTAGAGGCCCAGCTCAGACACCCAGCGGCCTTGTCCCAACTTTGTGTTCTTATTGAAGGCTTAAAACCAAGGGAAATAAAGCAAGCTTCCCTCACCCCACGCTAGTTAATAAGTGTATTACTGCTATGCAGGTTCTTAGCTTGCTACCATGCCTGTCGTGCTGGTGGTGACACCGTGACTGATGTTGCCTACAGAATTTTACTTGCACAGGGAGAAAATACAACCAATAAATCAGACTTAGAGCCATGGGGTGCCTATTTTGGTTCTCTGCAGCTCCTCGTGCTACTGCTGCCTGACCTGTTCAAGTGTCCCTGCGTACGCTGTTTCAGCTCACCCGCCTCACAAAAGCCACCCCTGAGCACACGCAGGGACTGTGGATTTGGGGAGTGCCCTACAAATCCTAGGGACGAGATCACCCAACCAAAACCTCATCAGAACCTCATCTCCCGGCCTCTGCCATCGCTTTTATACCCCGCTTCACGACTACTTGAGCACCACATTTGTTTCTGTCGGTGGTCATTGGTCTCCTTAGAGAGAAATAAATTGTTTAGTCTGGCAAGCAGACAGCTAAAGCTTTTAATAATTACCCTCCACCCACAAATAACCGCTTCGCAGCGGCCAGACAATAAAGCAAAGACGTATTTTCATTTATTTAATCAATACCAGCCTGTTCTGCGTGCCGAAGCACAGAGCTATGTTACTGGGCTATGTTACAGCACGAGCTGATCCCAAAGTTCTTCTTAGCATCTATTTTTAGCTTAAAAAAAGTATGGCCAAAGCCTTTTTTGTGTTCCTTGGGCTGCTTTGGCCTTGCAGAGCCCCTGCCCTCCCCTCCTCACTGCCCAGCAATCGCTGGCTTCAGGCCCTAACAACAAATGTCATTTATAAAGAAGGAGGAAGTGGAGGAGTGGTTTTCTTTCTCCATTGTTTATTTAAGATTTTAGGTTAATTTAAAAGGAAGCAGTGCCCTCGCTCGCCACTCCCTTAGAAACGCAGGTATTTTCCTCTTGGGGAGACAATAAGAGAGGAAGAAAAACCACAAATGCCTGTATAAAATCGTAAGTAAAAATCAAAGATCAGAAACTGAACTGAGCGATGGGGTAGGGGATTCCTCTTCAGACTACTCAGACCCACAGCCAAGTTTATTTCTAACACTCAACTGCAAGTTCTCAAGTGCCAAACCATCTCAAAAACTGAACCCTTCCAGCAGCGTGTACAGTTTGACCTTACTTTGGGCCAGCAGACATCACGGGGCAGCTCTCCTCCGTGCAGAAGTCCGTGATGGTGCCGTAGAGCATGTTGATCTGGTTGAAGAAGTCGACAGCTGCAAAGCATTGAAAACATCAATTAACGCTCTGCGGTGTATCACAGAATCACAGAATCTCTCGGTTGGAAAAGCCCTCTGAGATCATCACGTCCAACCGCTCCTGTCTCCCCACTAAACCATATCCTTAAGTACCTCATCTACCCGCTCTTTAAACACATCCAGGGATGGTGACTCCACCACCTCCCTGGGCAGCCTGTGCCAGCTTCTGACGACCCTCTCAGGAAAGAACTTCCTCCTTAGCTCTAACCTGAACCTCCCTTGGCACAGCTTGGTGCTGTTTCCCCTTGTTCTATCCCCCATCACCTGGGAGAAGAGACCAGCACCCACCTCTCCACAAGCTCCCTTGAGGCAGTTGGAGGTGGTGATGAGGTCTCCCCTCAGCCTCCTCTTCTCCAGGCTAAACAAGCCCAGTTCCCTCAGCCGCTCCTCATCAGGCTTGTTCTCCAGAGCCCTCCCCATCCTTGTGGCTCTTCTCTGAACACGCTCCAGGATCTCAACATCCTTCTTCTAGTGAGGGGCCCAGAACTGAACACAGCACTCGAGGTGTGGCCTACACGAGCTTCCTACAGCCTGAACTGTAAAGCACGCGGCGCTGAAGACGGTCCTGGAGTATTTTTCATTAAAAAAAAGTCTCATCACTGCTTTTTAATATGTAATGTGAAGGAGATGCAGAACACAGCCACCAACTTGCTAGGACTGCCTCTGGCAAGAACTATTTAATTGTTCACTGCCCCAAAACCTTCATTTTAAAGGAGAAAAGGCAAAAAGAAAGCTGAGTTATCTCCTTTTCTGAGAGTTTGACGCGTTTAGCAGAACCCCAAAATTCTACTGGCAAGGCTGAAATAAAATAAATGTATTTCAGTGTCAAACTGTTACTCAGTACTCATTCACTGATGCTGACGCCCCTCAGGCTTTGTATTCCAAAAGAGTTACCTTTTCAAAGAACAGTTCACCGAATCACAGCGTGGTTTAGGTCAGAAGGCACCTTTAAAACTCATCCAGGGACACCTCCACCAGCCCAGGCTGCTCCAAGCCCCGTCCAACCTGGCCTTGGGCGCTGCCAGGGAGGGGGCACCCACAGCTTTTCTGGGCAACCTGGGCCAGGGCCTCACCACCCATAGTGCAGGATTTCCTCCTCAATCTCCCCTCTCTCAGTTCTGTTATGGTCAAACACCACACGTACCGTAGGTGGATACAGAAGTCACGACACAGGAACAGTTACAGCGCTGATTTCTGCTCCCTGGATTATCAATTAGTTGCCACCACTCAATATTTACTCCATAAAGTTTCCTTGCTTACAAACCATCCGCAGAGTTTTGTTTGGGGCAGTTATTGCTCTAGTTCCATGTTTGGGAAAGCAGCTCTGCTGGCCAAACCTGGGTTTGTTGTTTGTTTTCCTTAGGTTTTTTGCTTGCATGTTTGTTTTTAAACACTCTACTGCTGAATTACTGAAATAAAAGACCAGAAGTGACCGTATCTAAATATTCCCACAGTTCATACTGTAACTAGGTGCTTGGTTACTGGGAATTCTTTGAAAGCCAGGCTCGTCTTCAATCACCTAACAGCACATTAGGAGCCGTGGTACTGTAATCCATTTATAAACTCCACTTCATGTCCCTCGGCGAATGGTGCCCCTTGCATCTGTTGAGGAGCACAGCGCATTACCACGGTATCGATACATTCTCTTCCCAAAATACCTTTCAGACAATGGATGTCACGAGTCAAAACTGAAAGGGGACCAACATTTTTACTTCCTAGTGCTTATTATAAGTAGGCTGGGTTAAATTCTTGTGACTGTTGTTCCACAGTAGCAGTTTTACCACATGTTCCTGCCCCCTTATCCTGCAGCGGTTACTGCAAACTCTGCTTCGGGATGAACCCAAGTACATCAGAACACAGGACTTGCAAGATCAGACTTGCAAGACTGCTTTGCTGTCCTTATTCATCCATTTTTATGCACGGATGAAATTCAGCAACCGTCCAAACCCAGCAATGAAGTGTGGCAGCATTCACCTCCTTCTACTGAACCGCAGTGCTCTGCGAATTTAACTGCTTAACCCACACATCCTTACCCTGAAAGGAAACACCTACCACACAGAAACAGATTGAATGCCCCAAAACTGGTAGGCACGCACCCAGCACAGGTCATCTCCAGCAACACATTTAGGGGTTTTTTGGATATTTTCTTTCCCCCTTCCCCTGCAGGGCAACAGCAGAAAACATCAAAACAGTATTAAGAAGGGCTGATAAAGTTACAGAAGAGGATGAGGAGCACTGCTAAAGCTTGTTAGGCTGGGGGAAGGAAGCATTTAACACCAGAGGCACCAAGGAGTGGTTATACAGGGCCCTTGTTTAAGTGTACACAAGAACTGGTAATTAAGTTTCCATTCCCTGCTCCCAGTAGAAACCACAGCCCAGCGTTTGCTTCCAGGCAAGCGCGTTCACAAAACCCACACAGCCTGACAAAGTGACTGACGACTGTGGGTCCTACGCGAGCCACGCCACCCACCACAGCCAGCAGCCTCTGACAAACAAGAGAAGGGACTGCATAAAGCCACAGTGTCTTTGCACATTTCCATTTCCTCCTTTTACTCCTCGCTCTTAAGTTTCGAGGGTTTGTTTTATTTTTTTCCAAGTGCTTTTCTACTCGAAGAAGAGCAGAGTCTGGTGTTTCATTATAAAGATATGGGCATGATGTACTCCTGAAATTACCTGTACGTTTTCAAAGCAAGATTTCAAATTAAGCCCAAAACAATCTGATAGTGTACTCCTCACCTTCTGATTTTTTATTTTGAAAACATGCCTGGAAAATGAACACAGAAGCCATGGTAAGGATGGGGAGGGCTCTGGAGAACAAGCCTGATGAGGAGCGGCTGAGGGAACTGGGCTTGTTCAGCCTGGAGAAGAGAAGGCTGAGGGGAGACCTCAGCACCACCTACAACTGCCTCAAGGGAGCTTGTAGAGAGGTGGGTGCTGGGCTCTTCTCCCAGGTGATGGGGGATAGAACAAGGGGAAACAGCACCAAGCTGTGCCAAGGGAGGTTCAGGTTAGAGATAAGGAGGAAGTTCTTTCCTGAGAGGGTCGTCAGAAGCTGGACCAGGCTGCCCAGGGAGGTGGTGGAGTCACCATCCCTGGATGTGTTTAAAGAGCGGGTAGATGAGGTACTTAAGGATATGGTTTAGTGGGTAGACAGGAGCGGTTGGACGTGATGATCTCAGAGGGCTTTTCCAACCGAGAGATTCTGTGATTCTGTGAAGTCAACTCCTTCCCCTCAGACATCAGGAAGCCCAAGAGCTGAGCAAGAAGCAGAAGAGCAGAGCACATTTGGTCCTGTGCTCCCACTACTGCGAAGGGCAAAACATTAAGTCACACATTTCATTTCCTTATTAATTATCTCCACCAACTGAAGGGGCTTTGCTGCCTCTTGCCACCCTGTTAATTGGGCAGCTGCATCATTTGGGAAGGGAAAAACACCGCTGCCACACGGGGAAGAGGAGGCAGAGCGGGGGAACCACCACAAGGGAAGGATGCCAGCAGCGAATGAAGCATCTTTAGCAATGCCTACTCACAAAACCAGGCTGGCTTTTTGTCTAGGCAGTTTTGCAACGCGGCGTGAATAAACTTTTGTAAAGAACGGAGTCAGCAGTTTCAGCATTCCCTGGAAGCAGTGGCACGGCATCCGCCGCAGAGCTGGGTGACTCACGAAGGACCGCAGGGGTGAAGCCAGTGCAGCAGTTTCACTTCCCAAATACATCAAAGAGCAAGAAGAAAATGGGCAAAAACCACATAAAATAATTACGAGGCGTTTATCTCGAGTGTAATTTATGCCCCACTGCAGTGCACTATCGCTACTGTACGATCAGAAGATGAGGAAGGACCCAAACAGGGCACAGTTTGTGGCAGCCAAAACCCTGCACAGGCTACGGAGCATGACAGGGCTTGGGTTAAGCCATTTTTTGGGAGCAGAAAGCAGGCAGCAAATTCAAGCAGCAGGGAGAGGAAGGAGGAGGAAACGTGGTCAAGCAATCAGAAAACACTGATTTGGTCAGCATTGTTTGGCCTGATCTAGCACGACGGGAGCAAGCTGGGACAAACAGCTTCGGAGGAAGTTAAAATAACCAAACCAGAGACTCGCCAGAGCAAAAACTCACATAAGGAAGGAATGACCTTTAGGAAAATTGCAAAGATCCATCTCTGGGTTTGTCACAGGCAAGAAGCTTGCTTGCAGTCTGTAACGTCTTTGAGACCTGGCCCTCACACTCACCTGAATGACGGTAACAGCACGTGGAGGTTTGACTGTATCATCGAGTAACAACCCTGGCTGAAAAAGGGCTGGATTAACACACTAAGATAGCCCTGACAGGGCATTTCCTAAAAATAGCAGTGGCATTTCTACTCCAGCACTTGTTTGAGATCGAGCGGCCAGACTCGAGCCACTTAGAATTGTTTTATTAACAGGAACGTATTTTTGGCATGGGGAGATGACCGAGTTGTTGTCTGGGTGAGCCGCTCTGCGTCTGTCAGCGCAAAATACGACGACATCCACCTCTCCCAACGCAGCACGGCATGAAAAAAGAGCCAACCCCCCCAGAAAGTGGTCCTCCCCTGAGTGTCAGCCCATGATCAACACCCTCCTTACCAAAAAAAACCCCAAAATGAGCCGACTTACTGTTAACCGCAACCCATTCGTTCAAGTCTTCGCCCTCTGGCAGCATCACAGCCATGCGGAGGTTCCCGCTCCCCAGCGTGGCTTCAGCGTGTTTCAGCAGCTCGTACTGGTGGGAGCCCTCGGGAATGTTCTTCTTTGGTTTGAAGGTTTTGGAAGAGCGACTACCACTGCGAAAGGGAGAGAAAACGTTGAGGGGACTCGTGGGAAGGGGAGAAGAAAGGGGTGGGCAAGTCACGCGTAAGGATTAACATTCAACGCCTTCCCCACTCCCTTATTTCCCTGCTGAAAAAGGGTATTTGACAAAAACTGGGATGCAAACAGGCGCTTTGACTGGTTGTTTTAAGCAATTCAATGTTTCTCCACTGCCCTGCCTCTCATCTCCTCACCTGGGAATGCTCGGACTCCCTTCTCTGTCTCAGCAAATTGGATCATGACCAAGAGGAGGCCAAAAGTATTTCCTTCCCCGAATTTGGACAGCCACATATCGAGGATAACAGCCCAGGCAAATATGCAAACACTGTAACTGATAAAATTCCACATTTTCCACACATCTGTGTGTCTTTTTCCCCCTGGTTTCGCACCACTCGGGCAAGAAATAAGGACGACAACTTTGACAACTTTCATACACATCATTTTCCTGCCTATAATTTTGTTTGATAAACATGAACTGACTTAAGAAGAAGGTTCAGATGCTTGAATTTTACACGATGGCAGTCAGCCTGGATGGAACATTAACCCCAAAACACGTCAGAAACATGGCACATAAAACTAAATATCTGCAGAGAAGAGTCAAATGAGCCAATATTTGTGGATGAGCTGAGAGAAGATTCCTGTCAGAAAAGGAAAACTGAGCTCTGAATCCCAACAAAATAAAGCGGAAAGATGGGAAACCCGGGCAGCAGAATCTTCCTTACCAATATTATCCAGTCCACTTGTCTTTATAGAAAAGATTTTCCCAGCTTTTCACCATCTCCACAGGACTGAACAGAAATTGGGGTTGGGGAAGGCGGGGGCAATTCCCTAAGTCTCAGTTGAAAGCTGACCACGAGCAGCAGCAGCAGCAAACATTGAAACTGGAGATATTAATGAGCTTCTCCAGTTCTTTTGGGCAGGGAACATCTCTGGGTATTTCACAGCTCCCCCAACCCTGGCTGGTTGGAGGTTGATGTGGTCCCAGTCCTACTCCGACTCTCCCTGGCTACCACGGCGCAGCATCCCCCTGCTCCTCCTCCTCCTCCCATAGGCCTTGGGAGTAATCCCATTTTCCAACCTTCATAAATAAGCGTTCCTGGATTAAAAGGGTTTGTGGATACAGGAGATCAGGTCGTGTACGTTCAAACAGACACTAGCACAAAACCAAAGACTGCCTAATGCAGTCAGCTCCTAAGAGCCACAAGCAGAAAGGGAGACGTGTGGCTCCTATATACTCTGCTACAGGACGTTTCTAACACGTGCCCACCCGTTTGCATTTCACCCTAAGCAAGGACACCTGGTTCAAATCTTCCATAAATTAATTGCCACCCATGGCAGCGAGCAGCTTTTGTGGCGCAGGGAGTTCCCTTCCCCTCCCACCCCTCCAGTCACCTGCAGAGGTTGCCGAGCCAGGTTCAAACTCTGAAAAAACAACATCCAAACACAAATACTCCAAATATTGTAATGGACTGCTTGGCAAGCCAAGTTTCTCTCTTCAGGAACACATCCACAATGCAAATACAGGGGTGAAAACACAACTTCAATCATCTGATACTTGCTTTGGTGCACGGCTGCAGGGACAGGGCTGACCCAAGGCAACATTCACAATGAGGAGCAAGAGAGATCGCTGTCATTATCTTCCCACACACGGCCATGCAAGCAAGATCAGCACAGGCACAGCACTTCCTACCTTGCTCACGAGATCCTGCTCTCCCTCCGGCATAACTAGACAAGAGAAACCAACTCCTAACACCTCTGTGACAAGCAAGTCAAAGATTCGCAAGGACTTACCACCACTGCAAAGCTTCATTCATTGTGTATGAAAGGAAAACCAGAGATTTTCTAACATCCTCCTTTCCCATTCCAAACCCTAAGGTTCATCAGCTTCTCTTCTCCAATAAATATTTATTTCCATACAGTAACAAAGACTAAAACCAAAAGAAACTGGTTAAGAATTTACAGCGTAAACACCCCAGCCTGTGAGCGTGCCAGATAACAAACCAAGTCACTGCAGATCTGCTCAATATCCAGCAGAGATCTCCTACGGTCAAGGAAGCAGAGAAGGTACAATATGCTGGAAAATCATTAAGGATCGCTTAATCCCCATTATCCCCTTCCCAGAACCAGGGGGCTCCTCATAAGCTGTAACAACAACGATTAAGTCTCATCAGCAACTCCAAAGAAGCCATTGCCTGTTTGCCTGCACCACCTTTCCCATCACCGCTGCCCAAACGCAGCAGAGCCACCCTCAGCCAGCAGGGAACGGCCTCACGCCAAGGGCGGGCAGGCATCCAAGAGGAAAAGCGACTGGGATAAACACAGGGTGTGAGTCTTCGTGTGCTACGGAAATACCTGAGATTTGGGCAGTAAGTGGTCAGCACTGCATCCTCCTGCCCTTCCCTGCTACCAGCCTCTGGACTTCAGAGTGACTTCATGAGTGGCTGGAGCTGCCAGGCAGAAAAG